TGGGATTTTACTGTAGAAACTGTATGTAAAGAGGGCATGGTTGGAGATGCTCTAAGAACCTTTATAGCCTGCATAAGTGAAGAGCCTGGTAAAAACGAAAAGAAACGAAAATCTAAGGGTTAATTGCACATAAAATCCTTACATTTTGTATAATTGCAAATAAAACTCAACCTTTTAATCTTTACAAATAAATACCAAGTTTTTATTATGCCTTGCAAATTTGTCTCAAAACAATTTTTGGGCAGCAAAATGAATAGTTTACAGTATATTATACCGCTTTCACCACAAGATACCAAAGATATTCAGCGCTGAGCTCGAAAAAATGGCAAAAATCCTTTCTTTTCATCCTTATTCATCTCCAACTCCATTTTCGAACAAGACCCATCATAGATTATCGATCTCATCAAACATTAATGCTTCTAACAACAGCAATCTCCCTCTTGCAAGCAAGATTATAGTCAGAAGTAAGTCACTTTATCGCTTGCTCTGTTTATTCGTTCTGTCGTTGGTTATCTGTGTATAATTTTTTGATTTGCTTGCTCGAAACATATGTAACCCCATAGATTCTTCTTAAATTTCCGGCTTCTGTTCTGATTTTTTTTTTTTTTTTTTTTTTTTTTTTTTTTTTTTTTTTGTGTGTTTGTCTCTTTCATTTTCTTGTTCAATTTTATGTCTGTTGCCATGATTGTATAAAGTATCACTTATTGTTCGATTCTTGTGGATTGTATTAGTACCATCTGTTAGAATCAGACATAAACATAAGATTTGATTGTTCTTGGCTAGAGTTGTTATAGGAAACGAGCTGCCCTCGTTTACTAAGATTTGTTGGGATTGAAAATAGGGTTTTTTTTTTTTTTTTATTTGATGAAATTTCTGTACTTTTATCTTAGCTCGGCTTGTTAAAGATCGAGTTTGACTTGTTTGTATTGTTAAACAAGCCGAGCTCAAGCTCGTTTAGAGCTCGGATAGATAAAGGCCCGAGAGAGCTTGAGTATCTGAAGCTTCCTGGCATGTCATTTGGAATGTGCTGCTCACAAAGATTTAGTAAATTAGATGTTGTTTTCAAAAAAAAAAAAAAAAAATGTTATGATTTTGATTGATGGGTCTGGCATATATTTTAAGTCTTCGGCCCAACCACACTCGACTGCCTTTGGAAAAATAGAGCATGAAGGCCATCTATGCCCGGTGCGGGTCCCCTTGTTAGGAAAGAATCGATCTTTCAACATTCTTTGAGTGAGTCGGGTCATCCGGTTGGCTTGCTTCCCTCTTCCTCTTGTACAAGCAATGACACAAACTTGATGACAATATTTCTAAATATATGAATGCAGCAGCCTTTGTGTTAACAAAATTTCGAGCCAGTCAAAGCAAATCAATTTTTACTACGTTTTGGATTGAAGTTTCTTGTTGTACTAGCTCCCTCAAGGATTTATCAAGGAAAGATAGAAGTTTTCATCTGGACATGGTTTTAACTTGGCTAACCTAGTAATTCTTCCATTCTCTTCCTGTCCACCTTGCATCTGTCATTTTTTATCTCGGCTAGTCAAAATTTGAACCATAATGTTTTTTTTTTTTTTTTTTAAAGATTATTCTTTTTGCAAATCACTATTTTTATTTACTCCTTAATTCCCCATCAAATCATACTATTTTACTTGAACACAGACCTATCTTTTTCGACAAGTCAGAGTCATCTAGTGAGTGAGTTCTCAAAGTATGGGCGGATAGCTGAAGGTACATTTTGGTCCTTTTTTTTTTTTTTTTTTTTTTAAATCCATCTCTAGGTATTTACGACTTGATTATGTTGCCATTTTCTGTGTTCAATGGCAGTAAAACTTGTCGAGGATAAAGCTACGAAAAAGCCAAAAGGATATGCATTCATACAATACACTTCACAAGAGGAAGCTATGCTTGCTTTAGAAAGCATGGACCATCAGGTTAGATGCGTTCGGCTTTGTTTTCTCGTAGATTTTTTTTTTTCTTCCTAATTACAATTATATCTTGCATGATTAATATTTTTTTTTGTCTTTTTCTAACTTTCGAGCTCTCCATTCTCAGTTTTTTGACGGTAGGACACTGTTTGTTGACATTGCGAAGCCCAGGAAGTCCGATTTTGGTGATTATCCGAAAGCCTCTGGCCCTCCTCAAGAACATATGGTGATAGAAGGTGCTAATAATGACTAACAGAGATTATTTTTCTAAGTAAATTATTTAAGTTCGAGTGATGAACAACCACGAGATACAAAAAAAAAAAAAAGGCTGTAGTGTTTTTTATTGATTGTGAAGTTTTTACACATTGCTTCGTCTCATGCAACAACACTTTGGTTTTTAACAATTGTCGATGTGCTCCCATAATTTAATTGTCGGTCGTTTCTCATTTTCGCTCGCAACATTTGATATATTAATTATTCTCTGTACGAACCAATTTTGAGTAGACTATATGAAATCAACAGGGATCATATGGCCAGTTAAGATATAATTGGGGAGTTGTTCTGTAATTTTTGTTCTGGGAAGGGTTTTTCGTTCAACTTATTCACAATATTCACTTGATCGACAAAAAATAGATCTAATCCATTTCCATCTTTCGCAATTCAAAAGTCTGCACACATTTACTGTTATGAAGCAATTGATGTGCATATGTAGAATAGAGGCTTGTTGGTGGCCATCACATTTCATCGAATTCTGAGGCTCGTTGGGGGCATAATGGTCATTTTGCATCTTGACGGAGCCTCACAGGATCAACACATCTGTTGTATTTGTAACATTACTTAAACACTCAACAACTTCCACTTTTAATTCCTACTTTACGTAACACCTTTAAGATTTAGTTTTTAGGGTAATTGAGACGATCTTATTCCATTTCATACATTTGTCTTCTACTTCTTATCGTCGTGTGCGTTAAGAAATCAAATAGAACAAGGCTTATACCCAATTTGAAGTTTGTTTATACGCTGATTGTATCAGATTTACTGAATGGTAAACAATTTATTAAACAAAAACGGGTACTCCAACTGTGTGGCTGTTGATATCTAACCTCTGATCCGACCAAGTTTGACATTGGTTTTTCCATTTCTTTTGTGTACTTGATGCAGAATGATTTGAGAGAAGTAACACTAGCATATTATAACAAAATAGAACTCAAAAATCACATGTCCACCCGTTACCAAAGAAAACCAAGAAAGCCAAACATTCACCTAGAAACGAAAAGTAGCAACTCATGCTCGACTAAGTAATAATATGGCCAAAACCAGTGAGTTTTTCCATTACATTACCAAGAAAACTCGAGCAACTGCAGACTTTAACATGCCTTGAGAGCAAAAGCAAACTCAAGAAATCATTGACTAATAATAATGACAAAACCAATGAGTTTTTCCACTACATTACCAAGAAAACTCAAGCAAGTGCAAACTTTAACATGCGTTGAGAGCACAAGCAATCAACGTAACCTCCTGGCCTCTCTTTCGGACTCCATCAATGTAAGATAATCACCTTCTCTCACGGGCCCCTTCACGTTCCTCATAATGAAACGGTTTTGATCGTCAATGAATTTGACCCTGACCTGCGTGACCTGGCCACGGGACCCGGTTCGCCCGATAACCTTCACAACTATGGCATGCTTGATCTGTGAATCCATACTGCATAAATATTTCAACACTTTCAGTATATAATTTCATATACATGAATTGCAGCAAAAACAGAGGTAAAATACTTTCCACATGCCCATTATGGTTTCAATCATACATTAGAAAGAAATTAAACAAACAAAAGGTCATTCAAACAAATAAACAAACACTTAGCTTAGAACAAGTTGTCCACCTGGACGAGTCATTGTTGACAATTCTTCTGGCATAGTGCTAATAATTGACTAGATCAAAATGACTCAATTAAATTCTAGTGCTTCTTCTATTAGTGAAGTTTCTAGAAAAAAATATATCAAACGGCGCAATGCACCTTTGATCGCTCTGGAAACAACCTCCTTGTATAATTACAAAGGTAAGGTCTGCGTATAACTGACCCCCTAGACCCCAACCAGTTGGGAATATACTGGGTATGTTGTTGTTGTTGTTGTTGTTAGCTTAGAACAAGCCTATAATTCCAATACACGAATAACAGCAAGGACAAAGGCAAATAATTTCAACATGCTCATCATTAATTATGGTTTAAATCATACATTAGTAAGAAATTAAACAAACAAAAGGTCCTTCAAATCAACAGTAATCGAATACAAACAAATAAAAAAACACTTAGATCAGAACAAGCATATAATTCCAATACATGAATAGTAGCAAGGGCAAAGACAACTCTACTTTTCTCACACGCCCATCATCAATTATGGTTTCATTTTATACATTAGTAAGAAATTAAACAACCAAAAAGATCCTTTAAACAACCGTAATCGAATGCAATCGAATGTAGACAAATAAACAAACACTTAGCTCGGATTATTGTTCCAATACATGAATCGCAGGAAGGACAAAAGCCAAATGGTTTCACCACATGCTCATCATCAATTTTCATACATTAGTAAGTAGTTAACCAAACAAGGGGTCCTTCAAAGAACAGTAATTACAACTACTTTTGCCACATGCCCACCATTAATTTATGATTTTACTAATTAATTATTGATTTTACTCATACATTAGTGAGAAATCAACCAAACAGCAGGTCCTTCAAAGAAGTACAATCGAATCGAACACAAACAAAAGTACAATCGAATCGAACACAAACAAACATATAAACAAAACCCTTGCTGAAAAAAAAAATCACAGATGAAACAAAGATCGATATTCAAGCAGGCGATATTCAAGCAGGCAACATCGAAGTTTCGTTAATCGGAGATTAAATAAAGAAAAAATCACAGAAATTGCTACGAACAAATTAAAAAAACAAACGAATGAAACAAATCGATCGACAAGAGAAAGCTGCTGTGTGCATAAAAAATAATTGAATTACAAGACAGCGTTAGATTAGAAAAGAACCTGCAGTTGATCGGAGCAAAGAGAGGAAATGACGGCGGAGGAAAGGTATTCGATGAAAGGCGCAGATAAACCCTAGAAGAGATGGGAATGGGATAATCCTTAATGGGTATATGCTAGGATGCTGTTAGGGTCGGGTGTTTTAACCGTAGGATCCACGTGTAGTTAGATAAGATATATGATCTAACGGTTAAACCACCAACGTGATGATACCGTAACGAGACCGAAATGTTAGATAAGATATATGATCCAACGGTTAAACCACCAACGTAATGATACCGTAATGAGACCGTAGCATTTTCCATCCACCTAACAGGATGATATCGTAATGAGACCCTAAGGGTGTGTTTGGTTCAATGGAGGGGAAGGGAGGGGAGGGATTTTAATGGAGGGAAAGGGAGGGGAGGGGAGGTGATGTAAAATAATTTTACCTTGTTTGGATGGATTATTTAGGAGGGGAAGGGAGGGAAAATGGTAAACCTTGTTTGGTTGATGAAGGGAAAATAAACTAAAATGACGAATTTATCCTTAATGAAATAAAAAAAAAAAATTAAAAACAATTAAAAGTAAGGGCTAAAATGTAATTTCATATCATTATAAACCACTTCCCCTCCAAATCCCTCCAATTTTGGAGGGGAGAAAAAGTGGGGGAGGGGAGGGAAAATCACTTAAAATTTTCCTCTCCCTCCCCTCCTAATTTTCCAACCAAACAAGGGAAAATTAAAATTCTCCCTCCCCTCTCCTCCCCTCCCCTCCAAATCCCTCAAACCAAACAACCCCTAACATTTCCCATCATTACTATTATATGAAACATTTTTTAGCTGATTTTTTTGTTTATATTTTAGTTAATATTTTTAATACTTAAATTTTTCTATTTTTTAAAAATTACAAAAATGCATTCAACCAAAAGGCATAACATAATATTTACATTTTTTTTTTCTTTTGATTTGTGTAGGCATTTAATTAAAAAAAAAAAAAAGAGTTGTCATGGTAGAAAAAGGTTAACATGATATACTAAAACCACCCGTTAATCTATTCAACTAATGTTAATCTAAAATATGCAAATAAATCACTAAAAAGAAGTCTTTATATAAATATAAATATAAAAAATAAAATAAAATTAGTTTTATGAGTGTTAATTTAAAAAATAAATTAAATTGTAGATATTATGAATTTATTATTTTATATGTAAAAATTTGATAAAATGACCAACTAAATTTTATGTATGATCAAAATATTTAAATATTTTGTAATACAAAAGATAAAAAATATTTTTCAGTTGATTTAATCTTTCTTCTTTAATAATATATGGATATAAACAGAAACTTAGAGAGTGTCTTCTCATTAATAATAAATGGTTTACCTGAAAAATGTTATTAAGAGTTAAATAGTTTTTAATACATTTAATAGTATTAATTTTTAATATTACATATTTATCAAATTAGTAAGAGCTCAATAAATTTTATGCTATTTTCAAATTTTCCCTTCCATATAATTTAAAGTTAATTTATTTAATATTTTGTACTCCGTAGTATTTTTATATTTAGGTATCACATAAGAATTATAAAATGTTAGATTTGTTTAAAAGTTAGGAGTGAGTGGTTATTAAAAGGATTCCCCAGTTCTTAATTGTCGCCAGCCTCGTTTTTCCCAGACTCACTTTGCGCTCCTTCTTACTATATTTGAAACCTTTCGTCTATGACTTCGCTTCTCCCCTATGCTCGGCGACGGTATGAGCTTGTGAGCTGAGAAAGTCCCTTGCGAAGCGGTCCTTTCCCATCAGCTCATGCACGGGCATCTTATATCATATCCAACCCGGGGGTCGTAGAAAGAAAAACCTTCTTTTCTAAAGGGCCTAAGGAGGTACGAAGTTAGTCGAGTCCTCCGAGAGGTGCAAGGCTACTCGAGTGAAGCGAGAGCTTCCCCCCTTCGGCTTCGGTGTGAGCGAAGCTTCCTTCGCGGATCTCCCTTGTGCTCGAACCTGAAATTTCGAGCTCCAAACCATTCATAGAACATGAAGTCCTGCATGGACCGGCTCTTGAGCACATTCAGCCAAGTTAGATGCACTAACCAATTGTTAAACCTCGAGCACCGCTTTAAAGACACAAACGCACCACCGAACTTCTCGCTACTACTACAGACATCATTGAAATCGCCTACCATTAATCAAGGCAGAGCGACTTCTGAACGGTTATTCCGTCCGCATATAAAAAAAAAAGTCATACTATCTTTTTTTATTTTGGTACAATAAAGGAGGCGAAGGCCTTAATATTATACTATAACTTGGCGGGGATAGGAGACCCCAATGATACCATGCTTGAGCCCCGCTCCCAAGCCATGGGAGGGGGAGGATAAGACAAGAACTGGATTCCGATTGGAGAGTCGGTCGCTAAGCTTGCCAAATAGTTTGTCGCAACGCTGGTCTCTCTATGCACATATCGTATCGTAGTGCTCCAATATTCCCTTTGAGCCAAGCAACGAATGGCATTGACTAGCGCTTTAAGAGCTCCAAAATTATTCTCGTGCCAAAGATCATGTTCACCACACATCGGATATCGACTTCCGCGACAATTTGACGATAGCCTTTCTCCCATGCCAATTGAAGCCCCTGAAAAAGGACCCATAATTCCCCACCTGTAATTGTACAAAACCAAATGTGCAACATGAAACCCGCTACCCATCCTCCCAGCACATCACGTAGAATCCCTCATGCACTACTTTATCTTGTAGAATTATCAAATGCTCCGTCAGTATTTATTTTGATCCACTCAGGATCTCGCGAAGACCAATGAATCAATCTAAAGAATGCTTCAATTCATCTCCTACTTTATCAAGGGCCACAAGAGAACGAATATAAGTGTCCACACGATTCAACAATTGACGTGCCTCGTAGCTCCAAGTTTGCTGGTTGAAGACACGTTCGTACCTCCAGTTCCACGATCGCCAAACTACGATTGAAAAGAGGTTGCTCCAGTTTGTGAAGGATCCCAACCGGATATTAAGCAAATTCTTGTGGAACCATGCTTTCAACGGTAGCTCGAAGAATTCCGGGTCATGCGAGGCTGGGAGTACTCGAGCCCAGAGGTTCTTAACAAAAAGACAATCTCTCAACACATGCAACAAATTCGCTTTCCCCACAGAAATCACAACCCGTTGAATCTCATAAATGCCACTGATATTGCTCTAAATTTGTGAGAAGCCACCCTTTAGCTGCGAGCCACATAAAATTTTGAAAACATTGCGGGGCCATTGCTCTCTATATAAGCTTCCAAAGGTGCTTATCTGAATCCTTTTCTGTTTGTACTAAAGGCCTGTAGGTTGTCCTTGTAGAGAATTTCCCGTTGGGGGAGAGGCTCCAAATGATCCGATCATCATCTGTCGTCGCTCTCGATGGTAGAGTTGCGGCTATACAGAGGAGCACAAAGGCGGGCAACCGACTCTGAAACTCGTCACAATTTCAAGTTGGTTGACGAATTGATAATATACTTAGCCAAAAGAACACGCACCCATAGCTATTTTTTGTTCGTCAAAATTCCCCAGCCGAATTTCATCAAAAGTGCATCATGATTCAAACAAATCAAATGAACTTTTTTCTTCTCATCAGACCCTTCCCACACAAATGTGCGACATCTTTTTCTGTGACCATCAGTAATTGCACATGGGAGCATGGGTAGATTGCATAAAAATGCAAAGTGCTAAGGACGGATTGAGTAAGAGTTACTCTCCCCGCCATCGATAAAAGACGTCATGCGCCAACCCGCTAATCTTGATTCCGCATTTCTAAAATATGAGCGTATGTGTTTTTAGTCACGCGTCCATGAATTATGGGCATCCACAAAATACTTACCCAGGTAGTGTGTTTGCTTGAAGTTTAACACTCAGAAAGCTTGGCTCAGTTCAGGTCAAACAACTTACAACCCTAATTGAGCAATACCTTAAAGGCCACGAAGAAAACAACGTATAGAGATCCTCTTAAAACACATTGAAGGAGATGAAAACACATAATATTTTGCCAAACTTTCAATGAAACAATAGCCAAAGCAGCCCCAAACATACACTCACTCAAGAAGCAAACAGAAACAGAAAATAATCCACAAAAAACACTCATTAACAAATAAATGGAACTTTCTACAAGAAACAAAGGCTTTTATAATCACACAAAGCACGACCGATGATCGTTTACAAACGCGTAAATATAATTTCTATACAAATAATACACATGTAGGGATGTTTTTCGAGTCTTCGGATTCACTTGCAACGACACAAAACAAAGGACAAAAAAA